TACGGGGTAAAAATGGGAGTTCATAACCCACTTGAATCAAAGTGTAAAATATGATATATCAAGAACTATGTAATGTTTTGAACAACCAACAATAAAAAAAAGAAAAAAAAAGAGAAAAGTGTCCTTAAACACCATGATATTGTTCTAAATTCTTGTGAAAGTTCACATTTTAACATTACGATCAGGATGTGGGGATGGGTCAAAAGAAGAAAGTCACAATTTAAAGCCCCAAATTCCAATAAATCAGCATAGAAAAAATGTAAATGGCCATTCAAAAGGATGCTCTATGCATGTGCCTTTGATGAGCTTGAGAAGAAACTCAGTTATAAGCAGGGAGGAAGGGGAACAGCTAGAACCTACTCCAAGGATATTCTCAGGAAGATAATGAGAGACAGGGAGGTGTCATGGGGTGAAGACACAGACTTTGGCCACTGCAAAATCGATGTTCAGACAGATAACAATTGACCCCAAGTGGCGCCTCTGTCACTGAGTTTAAAGAGCAAATTGCCTTGAATATTAATTCTTTTAAAGGAAATAATAATAAGAAGATGTTCTGATTTCACTGGGGAAATCAAAACTGGAATCAGAGTTGCTAAGAATCTCAACATAGAAAGGCAAAACAAAACCTCAGAACATTCCCAGAGTCTCAATATCCCTGTAAAGATTTAGATTAAAGATGGCAACCCACGAGATTTCTTATTTAATTAAGTCCTAAAATGGCATACATCATGAATTATATAAAATAGCAGAAATTTTCATTGCAGGGCTTTCTGCATCCCTTGCCAAAATCTGAACATTTAATGCTGAATTATAGAAAATGTAAGCTTTGAGGTTGAATTTGCATTCATTTTGAAATTCGGCATTGTAACTCTTACTTTTAGAGAACCCTAATTCTTTCAGGAACACATTAAAACCCCAAGTCACAGATGATTTAAAAAAAAGAATCTTTCTAATTTTGGAACATCGATGCTTTCATTAACATATTCCTCTCCCAATCATTACAGAAATGATAACATTTTTGGCTTTCAAAATTATATGTGGGGGGACTGGGGTTGTGGCTCAGCAGTAGAGCGCTCCCCTGGTGCGTGTAAGGCTCTGGGTTCGATTCTCAGCACCACATAAAAATAAATAAATAAAAATAAAGGCATTGGGTACAACTAAAAGAAATAAATATTTTTAAAAAAGTATATGTGGCTCAGTGGTAGAGTGCTCACCTAGCATGGGTGAGGTACTGGGTTCAATCCTCAGCACCACATTAAAAAGAAAATGAAATAGAGATATTGTGTGTCCACCTACATCTAAAAAATAAATATTTAAAATAAAATTATATTTTTTTATGATTATGATGGTAACGACTCAGTTCTGGATAAAGTGCCACAAAACCAAAGCTTTATGTAAAGCACGTTTCTGCATAGCTTTCTAGGCTTTCTCTCCTTCATGCCCCCTCCACCTGATCCTAACATCAGCTTTTTTTTCATACAAATCCACATCTCTTTCCATTGACATTCTTGTAAGCTAAGTTGTCAGGACCTGTGATCAAATCCTCTTGGGTTTTTGTTGTGGATTTTGTTTGTTTATTTGGCACTGGAGTTTGAATCCAGGGCCTTGTGCATGCTAAGCACATGCTCTACCACTGACCTACACCCCCTAACCTCTCCTTTTACATTTTGGTATGTCTCCATTCATGAAATAGCTCTCACTTTCCCCTCCAAATGCATACATTCATCTATATAGAACCATCTGAGAATACACGTGGCAGGATCAAGTTACTTACTGTTTGTTGACAAAATTAAATTAAGACATTTTGCAGTAATTGCTACAACTTATTTAACAAATGCTATTTTGAGGAATTTTTTAGCATATTATCTCTAATTTCTTTTCAAGAAGGAATTATTAGCTTCATTTTTCAGTTGAAGAAAATCCTCTTTCAGCTTCCTGGACTGTAAAATGGGAGCAATGTCATCTCTTAGCTGGCAGTACTCAAGGAATCAAGTAACCTGCTCAATGACATTCAGCCACTAATCAGTAGAGATCAAAGGGAGGTGTCCCTATTCCTGGGCATATGCCCTTTGCAATGCCACGATGTCTTTCACTAACTGACAGCTAAAGGGACACTGCTGATTTATTTGGTGACTATAAACAAACATAATGAAATCTAAAACATTTACCACCTTTTATTTTGCCACAACTATAAAATATAATTATTTAGGATCATTTTTTTTTGTGTGTTCTTAGATGTTTTAGATTATTAGCTTTTTCTCCCCCAAACCCTGGGAATTACATACAAATAGAAAAGGCTTGGGCTTTGAAGTAAAAATAATCTCATATCTAATTCTTGCCCCACAACGTACTAGCTCTGCAGCCTCTGACTAGATCTCAACATATCACCTTTAATTGTCTCACCTTGAAAATGGAAATCACAATGTCTACATTCATGGGGAAATTAAGGATTAAATTAGATGAAAATTTGTGACTGGCCCTCATTCCATCAAGACTCCTCCACCTTGGGGTTCTACCATCAGCCTTTCACTGCATGCAAATCCAAATCTCTTTGCACTGTCACCTGTTGTCCAAACAGGCATATGTAATGGTAAGGGTTTAAAAAATGGAACTATTATTACTAGCAAGTATAGTAAATTAAGTAAACTGTTATAATCATTATTATTAACAGCACTGTTGGCATATGAAAGGTCTTACATACATCTGTATTTTTCTTCTAAGAGACCCTTGGAGAGAGACATCAATCCAATCTTCAGACTCTGCACTCTAATTTTGCCAGTCCGACCCCTGAAATTATAAAAATCTCAATATGTTAGATGCATTTAAAACTGTATGTTAATTATTCTTGAATATCTATTTTCTTGAGAGTAAACTACTAAAGAGTCAACTTTTCACTATGAGCAATTAATATTCAACCGGTAACCTAAGTTCATGACATATCTTAACTGTGTTTGATTTAACTTTTCACACAACATATGAACTAAGAACAGATTAAAGCAAAATGAAAACAATAATTATAAAGCTAAAAAGATTTCATTTTTATAAATGCTTTGGATTAACATCTGGTAATGATAAATACAAGAATCAAAATAGAACACTAAAGCTATAGATAACATGCATGTGACAATATAGCAAGAAAGGGCTACTGATATATCTAAAAACAAATTTAAGAAATCTGACTAGAAAATCAACAACATACTGAGAACTTTGAACTTGCTGTCTTCATTTACTTTGGTTCTTTCAGTGCCATCTTTATAAATGACTATTGCAATTTTAATAGTCAATGATCTTAAACAGATAGGTGTGGAATCTGTGTTTGTGAAACAATCCAATTATAATTAATAGATTGCATTTACTAATCAAAGCTAAGAAATTATTTCACAGTATGCCAATAAGAAACCATTTCACTTTTACTTCTAAGTTGATTAGAAGAAAAACATTATCTTTAAAACCAGAGAATTGTCTTTATTTCCAAATTTATCAAAGAATGGCTAAGACATTCACCAAAGCTAATAAGTAACAATCATTCCAATGGAATAATACACAGCCAGGAAAGAAGGGGTTTTTTTTGTTTGTTTGTTTTGCTATATTTATTATTTCAGATTTGGGATCAATTTTCAGGTTTTTATTGTTGATTTTCTTAGGATATGTTTTCAATGTACAAGTGTAAGATGCTTCAAACCTGAAAATAAATGTTTATAGAATCATATGAATACTTAAGATTTACTAACTTTTAATATATTAAAAACATAAATATTTGTAATTTTCAGTAATCATATTTCCAAATTAAATTTAAATCTTGATTTTTTTTTTTTTGCTTTTTTTGTTTTTTATTTATTTGGTACAGGGAATGGAATCTCAGGGCCTTGTGCATGCTAGCCAACTACTGAGCTACAACTCTACCCCTTTTTATTTAAAAAAAAATTTATTTTTGAAACAAAGTCTTACTAAGTTTCTCAGGCTGGCCTTAAACTCATGATCCTCCAGCCTCAGCCTCTTGAGCAGCTATAACTATAGGTATGTGCCACCATGCCTACCTTTGTTGGTATCTGTACTGATAATTTCAGTTGATTTTTTTTCATTCTCAAATTGTACATACCCAAATAAGTTTCTATATGTAAACCATGACACATATCATAAAATAAATTATAAAAGAAAGCATGATTAGAAATTGGAGAAATGAATTTTTAAAGTAGTCTCTCAAAAGCCTAGGGGTTTATAATTCCATTGTCATGTCCAATGAGTTTATTGAATCCTAATTATATATATATATATATATATATAACATTCAGAATTGACCTTTGAAATAATAAGTACTTAAATGTTTTTTAAAAAATATAGCCCTGTAGCATAATTTCTAAATTAAAATACTCATCCCAACTTCTCACAATTAAAAAATATCACTTTCAAATTAATCTCTAAACTGAGCCATGCTATAAATTGTGTTTCTACTTAACATTTTTAAGAGTTCTCTAATTATCACATGAAATACACAATGCCTGCTTTCTTCCTTTGTAAAATCAGAAAGTTTTTATTCTCTGACCACAGACAATAGACTCCCAGAAAGTAAAAAAGGCTATAGAATGATCTCAGACTAGTACATGAATGTGGCTGAAGACAAAGCAATCCCTTAAGGGAAAAATAATCAAAATGATATGCATTTTAATGTGACCTCCATGACATGATGAGAAAGGAACATCATCAGGAAGACAACTGAAAATGCCAATCATTCATTCATTCTTCCACCATCAATGGTTAAGAAGGCTTACTCGGATCCCAGCATGTTCTATGTACTGCAGGGACCAAGGAAAAAACAGGGAAGTCCTGATTCCTACCCATGATGGGCTCACACACTATTGAGGAAGGTAAGACAAGAAATAAGTAGAGAAAATAGGAGGCCAGCCTTTGCAAATGGAAGTGAAGACTCAAATACAACATCACTTTGGTTGACTAGTCATCAGTCTCATGACCTTAGATACAGAAAGTAAGTCTAAAATCAGGCAGGGACAGCTGGACTATCTCAATTAGAAAAAAGTAGAGTACAGCAGGAAAAGTCTGAGCAAGGGGAAGAGGCAGGGGTGGGATCACCAGATGCAAGATGGTTAGGGTGGGGAAGGAACTAGCATTGGGATTAACTGGTTGATTAGGTTATACTGGTTATATGGGGCCACGGATAGATGGTTTTGAGGTCAAATAAGATATCCAAATTAAGAGACAATAGGGAGCCAATAAAATGTATGAATGAGTCATACAGCCCAAATTTAAGTATTTGGTTCCTCTTGATGGCTTTTTATAAGTAACTTCTGATTTAGTTTAACTGGAAAGTTAAGTATCTTTAAAATTATATCCATACTGGAACAGCAAGGGGTGGGGGGAATGATAAGACACTACAACAAATGGGGCTAATATTCTCTGTAAAGAAAAAAATATTTAAACGAAGTGTTCCAGACTATTGCTTTAAATCATGATTTAAACGCTTTTGATTTCCATTAAATCTGGAAGGAAGATTGCTAAATTAAGACTTTTTAACCTGGGAAGATGAAGACTGAGTAAGACTGAATTCATAAATGGAATCAATTTTATCTTTATGGCTGATAAAGTCCTTTTTACATATATTAGTACATTTGCCCTTCACAGTCACCTTTTATGGGATAAGCTGAGCAGATATTTTTATCTCCATTTTTCATGTGAGAAACTGAGATGCCAAAGGTAAGTGGCTGCCAAATCACATAGCAACCAAAACCAACTCTGAATTCTTGTCATCTACAACAGATGAACATGGGATTTTGTTTTCTCATAAAATTCAGAATATTAAGAGGAGTTGGGTACACTTTAAAACTTGAAAGAGACAGTTTACTTGAAATTATTTACATTTTTTCCCATATTATAAGATGGTAAGAATAATCAATTGATTACCAAAAATATCTGAATATTAGATCTATAGTTATCATTAAATCTGTAACAAGTGGCTGTGGATAAATGGTCTCCCACCAGTTTTTCAATCAGTAAAATAAAGATGGCAGACTCTAAGATCCTCAAAGTCCTTCTTCTTAAGAGAAATCTATGATCTAAACTATATTTATACCACTCATTATTTCAAGAGGTAGTTGAAACTGAAATGCCTTTATTGCTTTCATGATACATCACAAAAAAAGCCAGTCAAAAATATATGGTCAATGGATATAGTTTATATCTGGAATGTCCCCCAAAGGCCAATGTGTTAGAGACTTGGTCCCCAGTGGGGTACTATTGTGAAGTGGTGGAAATTTTCAGCTGGGCCTACTGGGAGATCTCTGGGTCATTGAGTACATGGCTTTAAAGGGGATTGTAGAACCTGGTCTCTTCCTCTTTCTCTCTCTCTGTCTTCCTTGCCATGAGGTGAGTGATTTTGCTCTGCCATATATGACCAGCATGATCTGACGCCTTACCCAAAGCAATGGGGCCAACTGATTATATATTGAAGCCTTTTAAAACTATAAGCCCCAATCAACCTTTTTTTCTGTATAAATTGGTTATTTCAAGTATCTGTTACAATGATGGGAAGCTGACTACTACAATGAACAAATATCAAAATCGATGAATGAAAGTATCATTTCTATGGTTCATGGACTTCTAATGGATCATAGATTCCATCATATTTCTTTAAAAGAACTATAACTAGAAAAAAATTAATAACTATTATGTATGTAAATAAGTAAGTCAAAGTTAATTGAGAAACTTGGGCAATTAATTCCGCACTTATGAGATTAACGTCAAAAAAGTAAATGCTCTTTTCCTCAGATTAATTCATGGTACTCCTCTCCAAGAGAGAAAGCTAGACTAAATGGACACCATCTGACCCCACCTTTCTTTGGCATGGAAGGGAAATAAGTCCCGCAGACATTTTTTTTCTGTTGAAAATGAAAAATGAGAAATTTCAAGACACTATCCTAAATAAAAAGCAGCACTTTAGTATAGTATTTCCATGTCTCCACATTTGATGGTGGGAGGTGGAATTAAGCTAACATTTAGCTCCCTAGAATATGAATCACAACATTTCACATGCTGGTTCCTGCCCAGATAAGTGGCACTATTCCCTTGGGCTGTCCAGTGAAAATAGCACACGTGTGGGTTGAACTGAACTGTGTTCCTCTACATTCATATGCTTAAGTCCAAACTCCCAGTATCTCAGCAGGTGACTGTACTTGGAGATAGGGTCTTTGAATGATTAAGTAACTTAAAATGAGGTCATTAGGGTGGGTCCTGAATTCCTGTGACTGGTATCCTTATAGGAAGAGGAGATGAGCAGATAGCACAGAAGAAAGACCAAGTGTGGACACAGAGAGGACAGACATTGACAAACCAAAAAGAGAGGTCTAGGAGGAGGTGGGGAAACCCTGCTCTGTCTTTGACCTCAGACATCTAGCCTCTAGAACTGGGAGGAAATAAACTTCTGCCATTTAAGCTGCCCAGTCCATCCCACACAGTTATGGAAGCCCTAGAAATCTAATAAAGTGGGGTCAGGTGCTGTATGGACTGTGTGTTCCTCAATGCTACAGAAGCACGCTCCCTGCCCACTCCTATGTATGAGTCCTGGGGGTTAGGTCAGCTTTGCCTTTTGGTTCTTTCTTCTCCTTTGTGTTTTCTCTAAAACAAACTTTTTTCTATCTGAGAAAAAAAAAAAGAAAACTAATGTAGCATGTCAGAGACACAGATAATGCTGCAGGGGAATTTCAATTTCTTCTCCGGTTCTTCCTTAGAATGTGAAAGACATACACTACAACCATACCCCATAGGGCTAAATGAAGTTCCTCAATATTTTGCAAATTTAGGATTGTTCCTGGGATGTAAAATTAAGTATAAGCATGTGCAGTTAAAACACCTAATTGACCAGCTATTTCAGTGAATTTACTATAAAAGTCTCTTGAGGATTTTTTTTTAAAAAATTGATGAGCAAATTAAGGATGGTTAATTAAAATTAAGATTAAGGATGGTTAATGGGAATATTTTACTAATATATGGGAATATTTTACTCTAGGAGAATAAAAATTTGCATTAAAATGAAAAGTATTCATAGACCTCAGACAGGGATGTAGTAAATCCCATATTCATTATGGTAACTGAGACTCATGTGTCAGTGAGTTTCTTAAGAGCCCTTAAGCACACAATGGATATTTTATTATTTTTTTAAAAAGACTTTATAATATTTGTGAATGCTAAAAGATAAAAAATTTTCTAATAAAAAATAAAAATTTAAATAAATCATTTATAAACCTCTGTCACCATCACTTATTTCTTACACAGAATCAATCAGCTGCTAAATAAGTGGGGTAATGAACTATAATCTATCTTCTTTCTAAACAAAAGCTGATGAACACAAATTTTCCTACAGCTAGTTAAGAGACAATAACTTTTAGATTCCAAGACAGGCAACAGTCCTAATTTTCCTGTTTCATTTTGCATATTTTAACCCCCTACCAGAAGAATGAATAATTCCTAGTGTTTCAGAAATGTCAGCCCACAGCAAGTCTTTCTAGAACTGATTAGCTCACAAATTCATTGCCATAATCACAAGGGCCAAATTAATGGCAGATGAGTTATGCTGGAAGTTGAGAGTGCTCTTTATGTAACAGTGAGCACCAAATTAAATTACAGATAGAAAGAGTCCTGTAGAATACATTATTTAAAACACCATATATACACATAACCACCCCGGCAATAAATAAGCTAATATCAAAAGACAATTTAAATCGAGTTCATTGCCATTCAAATTGCTCTTAAGATGTCACACTAAGACTAAAGAACAGATTAGTATGACCTCATAAATTATTTTAGCTCATAACAATAATACAAGATTTTTTCTTTTTTAAAAAAGAAATAATATAAGACATTAAAGAAGGAGGAGAAGGAAATCAGATTTGGCTGCCTTTGATTTCTCTAGCTTTTTGACAAAGAATACTACAGATTTGACAGTCTTTGTAAACTGAAGCAAAATCTCCAAATAGTAGTTGCATATTCCTTTTCATCTATTGTTTGCTAAGAGTTCAGTGATTTGGAAAGATATTTATTTTCAACATCTAAAATAAATATTTCCACTGAGATGAATACTATGAAAGTACTTTGTAAAAAAAAATGCATGCTTTTAAAAATATCTTTAAATATTAGATGCTGTTATCAACATATTTAATCCAATGGTTGTAATTTAGTGAAAAAATAGAAACTCACGTGTCATACACATTGAGCAACCAGTTGAGACACATATCCACACAGAGTGGCACGTTGACCAGGTCCTTGTGCATTTGTTCAAGTCCATCGTAAGTTGTCGTCAGACAGTTGATGACATCTGGAACGCTGAGGAGCTGATCATTTTGGTTCAGCTTGTGCTGTTTGAAAACTTCATTTGTTGTATTCAACTCTAAGAGATCCACTAATCAGGTGAGAAAAAGGATTATGTCTGGTCACTGCACATGACAACACTGATCCAAAAGCATTTCTAGTCCCAAATACTTAGCTAGACTCTTCCATTTAAGAATTGATCCACAATTTTTTTTATCCATTCATCTATTAAAGGGCATCTAGGTTGGTTCCACAGTGTAGCTATTGTGAATTATGCTGCTATAAACATTGATGTCGCTGTGTCCCTATAGTATGCTGTTTTTAAGTCCTTTGGGTATAGACCAAGGAGATGGATAGCTGGATCAAATGGTGGTTCCATTCCCAATTTTCCAAGGAATCTCTATACTGCTTTCTGTATTACCTGCACTAATTTGTAGTCTAACCAGTATGAGTATACCTGTTTCCCATATTCTCGCCAACACTTATTGTTGTTTGTATTCATAATGGAATATTACTCAGCAATAAAAGAGAATGAAATCATGGCATTTGCAGGTGAATGGGTAGAGTTAGAGAAGATAATGCTAAGTGAAGTTAGCCAATCCCAAAAAAACAAATGCCGAATGTTTTCTCTGATATAAGGAGGCTAATTCATAGTGGGGTAGGGAGGAGGCACATGGGAGGAATAGAACAAACTCTAGATAGGGCAGTGGGTGGGGGAGGGAGTGGGCATGGTGTTAGAAATGATGGTGGAATGTGATGGACATCATTATCCAAAGTACATATATGAAGACACGAATTGGTGTGAATATACTTTGTATACAACCAGAGATATGAAAAATTGTGCTCTATATGTGTAATTAAGAATTGTAATGCATTCTGCTGTCATATATAAATAAAATTAATATATAAATATAAAAATATAAATTAAAAAATTAATAAAAAAGAATTGATCCTGTTAAGTCAATTTTGATTTTTAAAGAAATAAATAGCAATTCCATTCTTGGACTTTTAAAAGTTGACTTTTAAACTGACATTAAGAACAAAAATTATAGACATTAATATACATGGGGTACAATATGACATTTTGATATGTGAATACATTTTGTGATGCTTAAGTCAGGTTGAACGTACTTACTTCCTCAAATATGGATCACTTCTTAATGGTAAAACATTCAAGATCCTTCTAGCTTTTCAAAACTGTACAGTACATTATTGCTATCTATAACCACCCTGCTATGCAACAGCATCCCAGAACTTCTTGCTCTTATCTAACTATAGGTTGGTACCCACTGTTCAACTACTCTATATAACTTCCAGACTAATGGGGTCCTTGAAAAAAGTATTTTGTTTTATTTTATTTTTTATTAAATTATTTATTTATTCAAATTTGTTATATATTAGGCAGAATGCAATTCATTGCACATTACACATACAGAGCACAATTTTTCAAGTCAAAAAGATACTTTAACACATATATAATAACATACGGAGTTCACTGGTGAGGCTCAGGTAAAAAACGGGTTCTGTAGGAATACGATCATTCTCCAATGCCTCCTGAATCAAGCCTGATCAATGGGCTGTCACAGCCTGGCTCCAATCTAGCTTACTTCCCATGAGGCTCTGGCACCTTGGCAACCTGTAGCCAAGGAAGATTTGCAGAGGTTCTCAGGAGGACACTGTTCTTCACATATCTATTTGCTCTTATCCTTACCCTTTAGGTATAAAACATCTACAGTGGGCAAGGCCAGTGCTAGAGAGCATCTAGAGTACACACAGAGCCCCCTGAAACCCAGAGCCTTCCTGATAACTTTATGAAAAGGACAAAAGTACCCTAAGAGAAGAACACATAACCCTCTCAGACAGCTAGTGCAGGATGAGTATCCCTTTTCAGAAATGCTGGGAACCAAAACTATTTTGGAATTTTATTTTCTTTTGTTTTGAATATTATAACATTTGCATATACATAAAGAAATATCAAATCTAAATACAAAATTTACTTGGTTCATATATACTTTGAATAAATAGCCTGCAGGTAACTTTATATAATTGATGTGAACATACTTTATATACAGAGCTATGAAAAATTGTGCTCTATATGTGAAATAAGGATTGTAATAAGGACTGTTGTCGTGTATTTTAAATAATAATGAAATCAATTAAAAATATATAAGTGCACTAGCATTTTGATTGTGACACATCACAAAAAGTCAGGCATGGAATTTTCCACTTGTGCCATCATGTGGGTGCTCAAAGAGTTTCAGATTTCAGGTCTGGGATAAGGGTTGCTTCATAGGAAGACAACTGAAAAATCCCAATGAGGTGAGATTTGAAAAGAGCTGTGAAAAACAGATAATATTCAAGAGAACCATGGGAAGCAAGCAAAGAGTTCCAGAGGGTAGAATCGCTTGAGAACAGAAAAGAACTCAAGCAAGTCTAGGAGGTCGTTAGGAATGGCATGCACATGTCACTTACACACGGGTGCATGTGGTCACCATGAAGGGGACATGCAGAGCTCCAGGACAGTCACATGCTGCCCACAAAAGTCAAGGGGAGGGGCTCAGACAAAGATGAAATCTCCATTTTGAAAATTGACTTTGAGTTATTCATTGCATGTTATTGAGTTATAGAAAATGACCCTTCCAAATCTAAACATACGGGCATAAGACATTACAGAACCCACATTAATTTAAAGTCTTCTGGTGGAAATTATTGTTCTCTAAAATTTATCTACTATCTCCACATTTCACTTTTGAGACTTAAAAAAACATAATATCAGTTGAGCTTTTCAAAAAACCTTTACCAACCACTTTCTCTTCGCCTGATGCAAAAACTGTTTCCTCAAAACCTATGGCATATTTTGACAGTTAACCAAAATGAGCAAATAGCTTCCCTTGTGTTTACCAATTTCTAACTATTGAATAACCATTAATTTGGATTTTTAAAGACATTTATGGAATGTGTCAATGTTAGCTGATTAGACACCATAGAATTACGTGTTTTTTAAATATATCTGCAATGAAAAAGAATTACTTTAAAACTATAGAGATTACAACAATTTCTGAAACAATGGGAAGAACTTTCTTTTTTTTTTTTAAAGACAGACTCTAACATAAAACATACATGTCGGGACCACAGGCCAATACTTTCCTTTAGGCTTCACATGCATCATTGGTAAAATGATTATAAGAATAATCTGCATGAGCTTCACATGAATTAGAGATGGTGCCAGAAAAACAAATCTAAGAACCATCTGGAATTTTTATTATCATTTTTACCTCATTTCTTGGCACTTCAGATTGTTTTCAATTAGAAACCTCTGGCTAGCAGTAGCAAAATTCATTCTCCAAGATGCCTCACAAAGGAAACACTTAATAAAGGACAGTAGCTACAGATCTGCAATTCCCCACAGATACAAAGAAATACATTCAAATGCTGCCAAAGCGGCCTAAGTTTTCAGAATTCCAACACTAATTATGCCAGCAACAGGACATTGCTATTGGACCCCCACATGGCATAAAGTGACAACAGACCAGATTTCAAAAAGACCATTTCCTGGATCAAACTGTCCTTCACTTCTTTAGAAAATTCTCCCTTGTTATGCACTCTGCAGCTGTGACAGTAATTTGCCACATCCCATAGACCATCATGTCTTCAATTTTCAGTGATTTACTCTGACACTTTGCCTCAGTGCCTAAGCCAAGCATACATCTTCCTGAAGAGTGTCACATTTAGGTGCCTTTAAAGAACTGACTACATTTAAATCACAGAAAATTATGATTTTCTCTTTTCAAAGGGAGACAAATGACAGCCCAGTCATGCGGTAAATGAAACAAACAGCAGAATCATTTTCTAACCAACTTTCACACTTTTTCTTTAATCCCACACATGGGGAACAGGGGATCAAGTAGAAATGCATCTTTATTCTGTTCTGCCAGAAAACACCTGACCTTGGGCTTCTCTGGCTTTTCTCTAGGTCTGAAGTGGTTTGCCTGTTCCTTCTTAGCACTTTCCTATGTCCTTTTCCCAAGCAAAACAGAAATATAGCTGGTGCTCAAGGTTTCACACTTGGCCTTCAGTGTGCTAAGCCTCCTGCCCTCGGTCACTTCATGACTTCAGTAAGACTTTTATCCAGATTCCCTTTTCTTCTTATCTCCCGCCTGAACACCAGACCCACGTTCCTGTTGCTGGGTCTCCTACTAGAGCTTACCATTCTTTTTTAGGAATCTTTACCTTGCTATGTTCCAAATAAAGGTCCTGTCTTCCTACACTGAAATCTAGGCTGCAAATCTTGAGATTTCCTTTTTTTTGTTTTCAATTTGCTTCAAGTTTTATTATATTTAAATACCTAATAATAAGCCATTACCCAGGCATAATGATGGGAAAATAAGGAATTTATAGGCATTCAAATCTTTTTACAATTCTCATCTGCAGAAAATTAAGTTACTAGAATTGAGTTAAGCAACATCAGCTTACCAACAGTACTACCCAAATTTCTTTCTTTCTTTTTTTTTTTTAACCTGGATGGCAGCATTAGAGCTTTATTTTCTTCCAAATGAGATCAATTAATTTCTTGAACCTGCATTCTGTCTGGAGGCAGAAAATGGCAATCATTACAGTAGAAACAAAGAGCTCAAAACAGTTTAAAACCAAGCTGTGTGCCTGGGCTCAGTAGCCCACTGGTGAGAAATATCTGCAGTTGTCACATGATGGCAGACTGGTAAAAAACAAGGTCAAACTGGGTGTTTTGCCTATTTCCAGGACAGTAATCTGCATCCAAGTCATTGTAAAAAAAAAAACCTGCAAAAGCAGTGCCCCGGTGTTAATTCTTTTCTTTTTTCTTTTTTTAAAGGCACACTCATACACTGCTGGTGGGACTACAAATTGGTACAGCCAATTTGGAAAGCAGTATGGAGATTCCTTGGAAAGCTGGGAATGGAACCACCATTTGACCCAGCTATTCCTCTTCTCAGACTATACCCAAAGACCTAAAAAACAGCATACTACAGGGACACAGCCACATCAATGTTTATAGCAGCACAATTCACAATAGCTAGACTGTGGAGCCAACCTAGATGCCCTTCAATAGATGAATGGATAAAAAAAAATGTGGCATACATACACAATGGAATATTACTCAGCACTAAAAAATAATAAGATCATGGCAAATTTTCAGGGAAATGGATGGCATTAGAGCAGATTATGCTAAGTGAGTTAGGCAATCCCCCAAAAAACAAATGCCAAATATCTTCTTTGCTATGGGGGGGGTGACTCAAAATGGGGAAGAGAGGAAAAGCATGGGAAGAAGATTACTTCTACATAAGGAAGAGGGGTGGGAGGGAAAAGGAGGGAGAAAGGGAATTGCATGGATGGTGGAAGGAGGAGAAAAAAAGAACAGCACTACCTTAGATCAGGTAGAGACAAGTGATGGGAGGGGAGGCGAGGGGCTGGGGAGATAGGAAGGATAGTAGAATGAAACATTATTATTACTGTGTGTATATATGTGATTGCATGACCAATGTGATTCTGCAACCTGTATACTCAGAAAAATGGGATATGGTATCCCATGTGATTCAAATCTTGAGATTTCTTTCTTCCCTCCCACTAACACCAGCCAGCTCAGCCTTGATCAGCATTCTCGCAAATCATCTACTCATCCTCTGTTCTTTCTGCCCTTCCATCTGTTTTAAATATCATCTAATGCATACTTTCTCCTCTTGGCCCTATCTCCAAATTCACACAGAACAGGAGATGGTTGTACAAAAAAGTATCCGAACATTAACTATGACACTATCGGAACTACAGGAACAAAACACTAAAGAATCAATAAACATTTCAGGAAAGAAATGACCTCTGAACGGACCGACACCGAATTAAAGGAAATTTCTGGATACTGGGCAAATGGTTAAGCTACTCCATTCGGACCCCATTGCTTGATGATTTATGATCCGTAAACCTTCTGCTTTCTTATGCACAGAACTCCCTCCCTTTTTATTCCTGGTTACTAGCCACACACCTAAATCCTGTGTATATTTCTCAAGGAAAAGGAGCTTCATAATAAAAGGAACAGGTTCCCTCCTCAGCACTTCCCTTTGCTTCTCCTCTATCTTTTGTTCCTAAAAAGCCCTTACATCACAATACAATATATATTCTTTATACACACACACACATAGTACATGTGTGGTTTGAAGAAAACTCACAGAAGTACCAATTAAACCATGTCACAGCTAAAGAAATAGAAAATTACCAACATCATCGAAGCTTCTCATAAATCCTCCCTAATTATGTCCCCTTAAAAACGACAGGGTTACCTTTAACCTTTATATTTCACTTTTAGTTCTTTAAAGTTTATATGTGTCACTGAACTGTACAACATTTAGTTCTTCATGGTTTTGAACGATATACAAATAAAACTGAACTGTACACATTTCTTCTGCCATTTGATTTTTTTTCATCCCACTTTATAGATCCAACATTCACTATGTTGATGTGAATTGCTAGTTCATTGATTTTTGCTGCTCTGTTATATCACATTTATGAATATGTCAAGATTAAACAAATTTTACTATTAAAAATGCTACTATAAATCTTGTACACATCTCTGGTGCAGTCCTACATAACCTTCAAACTCAAATCATTCACTTAATATGTCCTGAGTGACCTGCACTCTGCACCAGAAATTACATGAAGCCCTAAGTAGAGAAGAACATGGACTCATCCCTCTCGTCAAAGCTTGGTTCATTTGGAGAGACAGATAATAAGTACCTAGATATAATATTAACAATTACGACCCTTCGCCTTCATGCCTGAGTCAAACCCATGACAAGTATCATGTAAGGAAAGAAGAGATTCCATGAGATGTCACGGCAGGAGTAAGCTGCTTCAGAGGGAGAAGCTTCAGAGAGCCAAGTTAAAATACAGATGGCAGCCAAACTGAGACCCAAAGGAAGAGAACACAGTAGCCATGGGACGAATACAGGCTCGAAGTGCTAGGACAAGAGCATTTCAGGAGGAACAGATACCAAGTCTACCATTTCAGGAAGCAACGTAAGAAATGGTGAGGGTCCACAGGGGAGCAAAGTGTAGGAGATGGACATAGAGACAGGCCATTCCCCTCTAAGGGCAATAGACATCTGCTTACAGGGGCACTGAGCCTACAGGCAACATTCCCACTTTGAGTTTGAGTTCTTTAGGCCTGAGAAGCTAGTCTCCTCGTTGTTCCATCTATACGATCTTGGAGTCCTAAACCTGAGTGACTGACGACAGAACAGCCACAGAGTGCTGCTCCCTTATTAAGGCATTACGCTGGGGGTGGATCTGCACAGCATGAGAGCTGACCCTGACCAACGGCAGTTCTGAACCCTTGGACCACGACTCTGTCACATAAGGCAGGCATATGTTGCTCAGGTGAGAAACTGTCATTACAGGCAATCATAAAGCACTAGGGAAATCAGAGGCAGGTGGGATTTGCTTGTAAATGTTGCCGAAAGAGGTAAATTTTTAACAGAATTTGGGAGGAATAAAGGGTTACAGACCATTGCCGCGGAGTGGTCAGAACATATTGAGTAAACAGAGAGGGTGGGAGAGGAAGGAGCCGATTAATCATAAACAGGCCCCGACTGGAGCCCAGAGGAGGCCAAAGGCAATGGCAAAGAAGACTCGGTGGTTTCTTTGTGCAGGAGATGGACGTAGAGACAGGCCAGGCTGTCCCCACACTACCCAGCACTCCCCTGTGCACTACAAAATGACCTTTAGTGTAGAAGTTGGAGCAGTCTCTTCTCTGTTCCTTTCAGGCTTAAAAATGAGCTGAAAGAGGGAGCTTTTCTTCAGGGTCACAGAATCAACAGAAACAAACACCAAACACGTCGACATGCTTATCCACCCAGAAGTATTACCAAAAAACTGGGACCCATGTTCATAATGATACAAAGTGGGCTTCTGTCTGCGGAGGTTGTGGCTGAATCATCTGTCCTCATTTCATAGCTCATCAGGCCTGAGAAGCCCTTCTAGACCTGTCAGCTGGGTAGTGGACATGCAGCTGACCCTTTTTCAAAACTGCTGTCACTGCAGACTCGCTGAGTGGACTGAACGTCCTTTCTGTGTGTTCATAATCTACTTCGATTCTCTTCTCACTTGACATACAGGGCCCTACTGGAGCATCTTGGCTCCCATTTTTTTGCACTGGTCATTTGGTGACACTGGCTGTAACCACCAGAGCCTGCTCATTATCTCTGGGACTCTGTGGGTCATTCAAGAATCAATGTCACCTCAATCTTCCCTTTCCTGCCTTATCTGCAGGTGTTTCTCAGCTCATTCGACTTCTCTTCCACACAGAACTTTTTTTTCTTAAAGCTTAGTGCTGCTGTTTTCTTGAGTGCTTGAACCTCTCTATTAACTCTCATGTAGGCAGCTTGAATGGTTAATTACTATTAATTTTTAAAGAGTAAAATTTTCAACCCCAACATCATTTTTCTAATAGTAATGTTTTACAGTTTCACTGAACCAACTATTCATGTAACAACTATTAATAAAAGACAGCAAAGCAAGAGCACATGAAACTTTTCAAATTATCTTAAAAGTATAGGCAAACACCATTTTCTGTAGCAACTGACAAGGCCTAAATGTTCTTGAATAAACTCAACCATTAAAACTACAACCACAAATGGCTTAAATCTATATGCTCTATCATAAGTACTTACATTTCTATTTAATTTTATGTCGTGTTGGGGGGAAATAACCTTTTGGCAAAATATCTATCACAGAATACTATGAACAAACCCTCCACAGGAAAAATATGTTGATACTACTAAAAGTCCCAAGATATTTTAAAGAAGAAAATAGAGACTTTTCTCTAATTTGCTAAGGTAAAAGTTCCCATTTAGATCAGAAACGTGATTAATGTTTCTTTAATATATGATCATATGGAAATAAACTGTTTGGAGCTCTACACTTCTAAATGAATACAAAGCAGTAAAAAGGCAATGACCTACTACTGTGATTTCATGATTTAATGCTTTTAAATTGGGTGGCAGCATAATTTTTGAAAAAGCTTTTTATGTTACTCCCGTGTTTTGGTTAATTTTGTACTCCAACTGCGAATGGCATATGTTCATTTGTGTTACTCCTGCATTCTGTTGGGGCAAATAATGAAGCATTTATAGAAACACAGCCAACTCCTTGAGTGAGGTACACGGCAAATCAGATTAACTCTGCAAATGCATCGCCCGTTCCATTTATCTTTGTTGGGAGGGGAATCCAAAGAACAGAGTGAAGAACTTTGTTAGAATAACTCACAACATAGTGCTTTTTGCAGTCTTCGGATCTTGATTGCTGTACGGTAGGCAGAGAAACGTACGTTATTCAGGTCGGCTGAAATGGAAGAAAGAAAAATTTAAAAGTGTGCTTATGATTTGACTTCCATGGAATGCTAAAAAATGTATTTGCTTACTCTGGATGATGGAAATCATTGTGTCTATCTGCAATAAAAAGCGTTCTCCTAAATTTCCCATCTATTTAGGAAAATAATTAAATGGTGGTTAGCCCCCAATGGAGACACATTTCTAAAAAACTCTGTGCAGAAAATACCAAAGTGGGGCTGGGGATGTGGCTCAAGCGGTAGTGCGCTCGCCTGGCATGCGTGCGGCCCGGGTTCGATCCTCAGCACCACATACAAAGATGTTGTGTCCGCCAAAAACTAAAAAATAAATATTAAAAATTCTCTCTGTCTCTCTCTCTCTCTCTCACCTCTCTCTTTAAAAAAAAAAAAAAAAGAAAAGAAAAGAAAATACCAAAGTGCAGTGCTTCGGCACGCTAAGTTCTTCAAATGAAGGAGATCAGAACATACCCAGAAGAGAGGATTTCTAACCTTCTCCATTCCTTCGGACTCACATGCCTCTTTCTCCCCTGAAGCAAGTCGCAGAAAGCAGAATTCCTGTCCTTTGGCAAGCTATGGAAACTAGAAATTTTCTTCTCCAAAATAAGACATAAAACCTAGAAAGATCAGTCTCTGATCTTCTCCCTCCTTCCCTGAAGACTCTCACATGAGGTGTCTTGACCAATATGTGGAAGGAAAAAATGCCACTCAGAGGCCAAGAAAAATCTGAACAGAGAGGCCCCCAAACTTCCCTCTCAGTCTATTACCATTAAGTTGGACCCTTCTGTCTAATCACACTTGTACATGGCTGTCGTTCTTCATTAGCCTAGGCATAAACATGGAAAGTTTCTATTCCCCAGGAACTTTGGGTCTTCATTTCTCAATACCCTGTGTTATATAAAACTTTAACTAAATGTATTTGTTTTGCTTTTCTCTAGTGAATGAACCTGTCTGTGTTGCAGGAGCATCAACCACAACCCTCATGACAGATGAGCAAAGGGATTACACCTTTCTGGCCTTATACAGGAAAAGAAGAAAGATGAGGAAAAGGAAGCCCAGTGACTATTCAGACCTCATACACTCCACTCCTGCTCCAGGGGTTCTCCTCCAGGGCACTGTCCCTAAGGACAATTAGTTGTCTGTCCACCAAGCTATCTCAATACTCATAAAGCTGATCTATTCTACACTCCTTCCATTTTATTTGCTTCTTCTGACCTTCTATGAATCTGGTTGAAATGATTCTATGATCAATATTTACATCTTTTAAATAAAGGCTACTCTAATTTCTTCTTCTGTTCCCTAAAGTCAGAGAATCAGACACTAGCAGACTTACAGGGAAACTCATATAACATCAAAATTTGGCCCCCTCTCTTTCAGACTAAGCAAACCAGTGGCTTTTCTCTTGTTTATTTGACTTTTGCACTCCATTTCCTACCAAATGAAAGCTCACGCAAGAAGCCAAATGCTTAAGAGATGTGTATGTACTTGTTGAAGTGGGAATGGGAGGATTAGGATGCTTGGTCCCTCTAGCATCGTCTTAGTTACTCAAAGGGAAACTTTAAAAATTACTGGGCCAACCTGAAGGAAACAGGCCAAGTGATTGACTGAAATCCATAGTTTATAGCAATTAAAACAAGAGCATCTAATGTGTTTTCTTCCATTTTTAATATTAAAATGAATCTAGCTGTTCATGACTTAAACAAAATAAAACTGGGTAAGATAATTTGATAAAATCTGCTAAATAAAAAGAGAGCTAAAAGCAAATTTAAAGCAGTGGATTGGAGGTTTCTGTTTTGGGAGTCACTGGGTATTGCACCCAGGGATGCTTACCCACTGAGCCACATCTAAAGCCCCCCCCCTTTTTTTAAAAATATTTTATTTTGAAACAGAGTCTCACTAAATTGCTTAGGGCCTCACTAAGTTGCTAAAGCTGGCTTTGAACTCATAATCCTCCTGCCTTGGCCTCCTGAGTCGCTGGAATCACAGGCCTGGGCCACTGTGCCCAGTTGTTTGTTTGTTTTGCATGCAAAGCCAAAGTTTAAGATGACCCAATATGAGGGAGGTAAAATGTACAATTACATTCCCCCTAGTAAATGTACTCTTGCTCTCTTTCAACTAATATGTTCACAATACCTATTTACTGTACTGCCTTTAGAAGTTCAATTGCTTTTCTTTTGGGGGGGGGTGGGACTGGGGAGTGAACCTTGAGGCCCTCTACCAATGAGCTGCATTCTGAGTCCTTATTTTTTGTTTTAAGGCAGGGTCTCTGTAAGTTACCCAGGCTGGCCTCAAACCTGTGAGCCTTCTACCTCTGCAATTGCTAGGATTCCAGGTGTGTGCTACCTTAAACTGCTTTTAAGTGTCAATGACATGATTCTTTTCATATTATATGCCAGATAAGAAAAACGAGTGACTAGTTTCCTTTGAAGAATATACAGCTCTCACCTATTCAGGTTAATTCCTTGCTATTAAACAAAATAATACTAACCAAGGGATTGAAAGAGTTCGGTCATTTTAGGATGATCCCAACAGGTCGTCTGTGTTTGATGGCTGGGGGAAAAAAAAGAAAAATTCCCAAAATAAGCAAAACACAACAAAATATAATTCACAAATAAAACACACAAACAGAATTTTCCAAAAAATTTTATACAAACATGAAAAACAATTATTACTCATTAATGGAACATCAATAAGAAAGTTCATTTGAGCAACTATGTTATGAATAGACACATGAAAAGACTTTTGTTTTTACCCATGTCAAAAAGAATTGCAACTACATATTAAAACGTAGATATAAAGAATGACTGTCACAAATCCTTTGGCCCCAGGCTTGATCAACCCACAGTCGAGGATAATTCCACTCCAGTTAAGCAGATATAGATTCTCATTCAGAACAAATCCTCTGACAGCAGAAGTGCTGTGAAGAATCACTACACTTTAGAAGTCTTCATTGAATTTCTAAAGACTGAGAAATGAAGAGTTTAATTCCGAATAAACCTCCACCTCTCGGTCTATGAGGATCCTTGCTCTTCAACCCGAGGTCTCTTTCCTCAGAGCAAATCTGCTCTTTCACCCCTTTCTGGGATTCTGGGCATTACACCTTTCTTCTTTTGACCTTATGCCCCTCTTTATGCCCCCTTATTTCAGTTTCCCTCAGTAAACAGTATTATTATCTTTCTACAAATTGAGCCACTTTACTTGGATCCTTATTCTTCACTTTAAAGCACATTTTCAGTTTTGTTTTTTTCTGTAAATTCCAAAACTAACTCATATATCGGTTGGAAGTCTTTGAGGGAATAAGATAAGGGTAAAACTGGTAAATGTAGTGTTTAAATTAGGTCCCTTAGTGTGTGTGTGTGTGTGTGTTAAACAGCTCATAACTTTGATGGGCTAGTGGCCTTGTATTTAAAAATAGCTTACTCTCCTTTATCTAGGTCAGAATAGATTAATAACATTTAATAGTACTCCAAAGACTTCTTAGATGACACTCAATTCTGTTTAGTAAGCTAAGTGAAATAGCACACTATACAAGAAAGATGATATTAAAATATTCATAAAAGCAAATTTAAGAAAAATTATTTGTTTTAAAATCTATACCTACACATTCTGTAAAAACTATTGGGCAGGAACTCAAGCTTTCTGATCTAAATTCTACCACACATAGTGTGGCCAAGAGCTTGGCAGAAATGCAGAATATCAGGAAGAACATCTTCTCTACCATCAACAAGAATTAAAGGACAATTTGCTAAAAATGCAGCATTAATCCAGCATGCCACCATGGGCTCCTGGTCTCAGCCTTCCAAGATTCAGTACATAACTCCTCTTGGGTTTGGAGTGATTTCAATCCCCATGACAACAGTACTCCACAGAGACAGACATCCCACCATGAGAGAAGGAACCACGGCTCAAGGACCAAACCAAAGGTCTCATTAAAGCAGGGCCAGACTTTATAGATCACAAATAAAAGGATGCTCCCTCTAGAATCACAGGTGTGCAGCTTCACCTCACACAACCCCTGTGGAACCAGAGGGGGAAATACTACCATCAGGTCAGCAGAGGACCAGGAATTCAAGGCGAACACTCCTTGCTAATGGCTCTCTTGAGTAACGCCACTGTGTACCAGTAGCTGAGGGAACACACACACACACACACACACACACACACACACACACACACACACACACACATTTGGCAAACAGATGGAGACAGGGAACCAGCATCTCCTTTCGTGAATTCAATACCAGTTGATTCATTAGGCAGAACTGTCAACGCTGAAAATAAATACAGCTTCTGGTTGCAAAAGTAAAACTGCAGCTTACAAAATAACAGTTAAAAAAAAGAAAAACTAGTAGATGCTGTTGGCCGCTAGGTTTCTTTTTTTAAGAAGGAAGAGAGGGTTAGAACAAAACCCACAATGAAACTAAAGGCTCAAAGTATTTGAATAACTGCAGATTGCTCAGCAACTCTTGCCAAAATGCTTCCAATTTCTCCCAGAGTAGGCAACCAAAACAGAATCAAAGTGGCGCCCCCAATCCCCCAAATAACAACAGCCAAGCTTCCAGCTAATCTAAAATATGAGATGGGAGTGGAGCTTAATATTGGGCAGCTTGATAAACTAGCATATAAAATTATAGATTTGTTACTAAAAATCTTATTAAAAGGCAATAGGTACAGGAATCAGTACAAGAAAAAAATGAAAAATTAAATAAAGCAGTTAAATCTAACAAAGCGGTTAAGTCCAAAATCTATGAAGCAAACAATAGTGAGAATAGCTGCCATCCAAGGCGGGTGCCCAGACATCCCAGCTTTGCCTTTGTAGCCACAGACTGCAAAGGCCTTTGATGGGTGCAAAAAATTAGAGGTTATATGTTGTGAGGTGTGCCCCAAGAGCTCATGTATGAGACAATGTAAGAAGTTTAGAGGAGAAATGAGTTACAGAGCCTTAACCCAACTGAAGGGTGTGGCTGGAGGAGGTAGGGTACTGGGGCATGGCTTTGTAGTATTAATTTGTATTTAGTGAGTGGAGATATCTCCCCGCTTCCTGATTGTTATGCATGCCACTTGCCTCCACCATAATCTTCCAGGATGCAGAAGACTGCTATCTATGGATTTGAGTACCTCTGAAACTATGAGTCCCCAAATAAAGCTTTCCTCCTCTACAGTTTTTCTGGTTAGGTTCTTTAGTCACAACAGAGAAAAAGCTGACTAAAACAGTATCCTGTAAAGTTTAAATTATCTTTGAGCTATTTTAAACTCTGTACACTGAAGAAAAGTGATAATAATGCATGTTTTATGTCTATGGATATGTAAATTGTGTCCCTGGAATGCAACTGGCTATTGCTGGGTGGATACAGACTACTTAGTCAGCCTTACATCTTTATGTAAATTCGTCTCAGGGTTCCTTATTTGACTCTAGAGCTGTACTACTTTGTCTTCTCCTTGGAGTCTGCTGTAACTTCTGTTTCTATCTTATTAATGAGTCAAATGTAATATCTGACTCATGCTGTTTATGTGTTTGCATATATTTTGTGAATTATCCTTCAACATCTGTGACAGTCCTTCTCTATACTGGACTCTATACAGGAATTACATGTCAGTATCTTGATATGATTATTAAAAGTGCCCCTTTACTCTTAAGTTTCCCACTTGGGATAATACATAATCCCCACACTTTATGGGCTTCAAAGAAATATCACATGACTAAGATTAATAAACAGGATATGCCTCTACTTGTTATTATTCAGAATAATGTACTCTAGGAAGCCATAGAAAGTAAAATACAAATAAGACAATATACAAACAAAATCCCAAAGGCTGCATAATAGAACGGCCTACACGAGGCCATGAACCAATAACAAAGCACAGATACTTTTGATCAATTTGGAAGATACTGATTTCTGGGCAAACAACCTCTCTGGGAAAGATATTTCTAAAACCCATTAGTTTTCACTAGACTAGTCTTATTTTTTCCCCCTGAAACTTTAGAAGACAATCAGAAAGCATCTTACTTGCCCCAAAACTGACATGTAGCTAAATATACTCATTATTACCTAAATAGTTTTATGCTTCTACTGGATTCTGTGAAGTTTGCTATTTATCACTTCATTCCAATTATAAAGATAAAGGCATAACAGAAAAAAATAAAGGGGAGTGAGTTAATGAAAAAATACAAATGTGAGAAAAAGAACTAGTATATTGTTCGGCAACAAGACAGTGACAGAGAAACAGCCTTCCTTGTTGTCAAGTGAGAGATGACACAGTAGGTCAGAATGTACACAGCTAATTACAGTAATAGTCTAATATTCTAGGGCTCATGTTGTGCTTTTCTATGTAGAAAACTTTTTTTTTAAAGAGAGAGAGAGAAAAAATTTTAATATTTATTATTTTTTAGTTTTCGGCGGACACAACATCTTTGTTTGTATGTGGTGCTGAGGATCGAACCCGGGCCGCACGCATGCCAGCGCGCTACCGCTTGAGCCACATCCCCAGCCCGAAAACTTTTCTACATATAAAATTTTTCTACGTGTAAACTCTCTCCACAGTAAAATGCCAAGATGTATGTGACAGTCCTCTCCCCATTTTACAGATAAAGGAGACTAGGGCAGGTGCTTATATAATTTGCCCAAGGTTATCTGCAAGTAGTAGAAACGGGATTTAAACACAGATGGTCTGATTATAAGCCTGCTCTCTTGAAATGGAAATATATTTTCAAAATTAAGGTTTAAAAGTATTTTTTGATGAATCTATCCAAATGTAAACCCACAGTCCATCATTATAATCATTACAAACAACCTCATCTTCTGGCTTCTCTCTCACCCATGGCAAATCCCAGGCCTGGATCTACTAAATTACTTGCCTTTTCTGAACCTAAGCAGCTGTGGATGAATACAACCGAAGAAAATTACTCAGACTGATTTTACTTTAAATATTTGATTCAAATCTCAAATGTCCAACTTCTTGGTAATTGCACTACATTCCCTAATAAACTTGCTTTCTCAGAGTCTAAGTAATTTCCAAGTAAAGCCTTCTTTCCCATACCAAAACTAATTTTCCCTCCCTGTTTTAGTATCTTTTGACCTTACCCCCACACTTCATTGAAAAACTAAGAACCACTAGATTAGGACTCCTTCATCTTCCTACTACCACGTCAGTAATCTTCTCTCCATCTGTCCATTGGTCTTCCTCTCTCCTGTAACTGAGAAGTATCACTGTCCTATCAACGGCCGAATCTTCCCAGATCCTTCCTGTAGTACTTTGTGCTACATTATAGAACAGTAAAGCTATTCTTGACAGAATACAAATTTTGTTAAACTGCCATATATACACATAGACACACACACACACACACACACACACACACACACCCCTCAAATTCACATTTTCCACTAGTCGTCACCCCTTTTTTTCTTCTTCACAAACAAAATAAATGATTTGTTAACTGTAAATATGTCCTTGTGTCCCACTCAATACTCAACCCACTTGTATTTGGCTTCTAACTTGACCCCTCCCTCCAAGCTGGTCCCTTCAATATTATCAAAGAGCTCCATGGT